CTATTTATTTTGTAAATGTCTACAAATCTGAATAATGTGAAATATGTTTGCCTCAAAAAAAAGACATAGCTCAAAACTGATTAAACTGTTGCATTTTATAACGGAACGGTGTCATTTTGTTAGAAGATCATTCTAGTTTAGATGCACTATTTTACAGAGTAACTGTGACACAGGTAAGTGCAAAGAGAAACAAAATCCACTTGGGAGGATAAGGATGGATAAGAATGATACACAGGTTCCAACATCCCAGGTCACACTCAGTCTGCTTAGGATGCTGAAAGCAGCCAGGAAGAGCAGGTCCTTTTATTAGTTTACCTGTAGTTGTTGTTTGGACTTTTTGTTTCTGCTTTGGAACAAAGCTAGCATTAGCTAGCAACATCAAGAAGATGGTTTCTGACGGATGAAGGAAAAAAAAAACCAAAATACATCTTGAATCTGTTCATGTGCATTTGCTGGCACCCATGACAGTACCGTATGTTTCCTTGGTGGCCAACTGGTGACATTAATATCGGCATGGGCAAACCAGATTCCCAAGGGGACAGTGTCAATGGGAAACTGAAGAGGATTTTTTCTTCTTCTTTTTTTGATATTTTGTTTTGTTTTGAGAAAACCATAAGCAAGTATTCCTTAGAAACTAGCAGTTATGGCCAGAAGCAACAGTCAGCATGTGGATAATGGGCATTCTGCCAAATGAGAGTGCCCAAAAGTCTTGGATAAGAAATTATAGATATTCTTTTGGGATAGAAACATGGTAAGGGAATAACTTTAAATTTCCACATAGTTGGGATGAATTCCAGAAACAAGCCAGAACATTCACTTCTTCTGTTTATAGAGACTGTAATTACAAAGGCATATATTTTGCCTTCGTTTAGATTTTATTTATTTTTCTAATATTATGAAGTCCTATTTTATGCTAGACCTAGTCATTCGTAACTCTGCCCTGAATATACCAGTTAATAAAAAAAAAAAGTACTTATTTAAAAAGTTTTAATGTTATCAAGACCTTGAAATAATCACTTATATTTTTCCTGGCCTTTCATTCAATCAACATTGACCTTTAGTCCACAGAATTTGTAATGAGGAGGCATATTCACAAAGGTCTCGTTATGAATAAAAGTGTAGGAAGAAAATCTGAGTAGTTGTAAACTTTTGTAGTTTTATTTGCTGAAAAAGTACCACAGGACAAATATAGCACAGAAAGAGAATTTCAGCGACTGTGAAATATCTCATTCATGGCTATTTGTTGATATAAAATTCAGTAAGTCTTTAACTTGAAACTATCCTAAAAAATTTTAACAACAAAGCTAACACTTTCAAAGCAAAGTGTGAAAAGGTACATGACAAATCAGAGTGGTTTTCCCCCATACACTAGTAACATGTTCATTAGCATGCCTTCCACACTTCAGGTATGGTATGTGTTAAATTATCTCTGGAGCTGGTAATACAAATCGCAGAAAATGAAACATTTAGAAAAATGGCAATAGAACTGCGAGGATGAAGCATCAGAAAAAAAATCCCAAAGTTACTGAAGGTGTTGCCAACTTAATAAGGAAAATACTGCAATATTACAGCAAACGTAGACGCAAAAGAGTCAGTCATTATTTGTCCTTCCTGGCCAAAAGGACACAGGACACAACACTTTCCTGGATTTTCATTTGGCTGGCCGCCAAACCTGATAATTTAGTGGCAAGGTAAGTCCTACATCTCTCTGGTGACTTGAAAGGTACAGGCAAGTAAGTAGTGAAGCAATTCATTTTACTCAGTACTTCACTGTTTCTGCACATTGTTTTTAAAACCAGATTGTAATGCCTTGCCTTCTTCACACAGTTATTTAAGACCACTTCAAATGTGATACTAGTAATCACAGTAGGGGGAAAATGTGGCGAAACATATAGAAATATTGCATTGTGATATGAACTTATATGCCACCAAGGTAAATTATGTTAATACAAAGTGGCATTTAAAGAGCAGCCCTAATTAACGCATGATTTCATTTTGACTGGCTTCTGAACACACAGAACACAGTTCAATAAGGACCTTGTTTTACTCCTTAAATCTTGTTTCACACAGAATCGTTGCCAGTTACTAACATTTCATTTTTAAATTAGATTATAAATTTAATAAAAATGTGTTCGTTTACTTGTCTTTCATCTAGCAAATAAACAATCTTTACTCTTTATTCAGTTTTTCAGTAAGCTTTTACTCCATGTGATCTTAAGTCAACTGAACTGAAGTTAAATGAAATAAAAATTGTATCTAAAGTCAAGAAATTACAAGAAATTCTGATTTGCAGGCATGTTTTTATCTTTGGGGGCCTTGTTAGTTTTATGAGTATTGTGACAAACTTGAGTTTTATTATGAAAGTGCATCTTAATGTGAACAGGCTTTAAAAATTAAGTGTGACCTATCAGGAACAAAAAGCAAAAAGAGTAGAAATGGTCTAACGATGGTCCTCTTTTAGGTGGAGTCCTGTCCTAACCCATCAGTAGAGAACACGCATGGTCATAAAGCACCACATAAATGCATTCTTTCCCTGTTGGAGTAAGCTGCACCGAGCTTGCCAAATTCCAACTCAGGTAGCTCCATTTTTTTTTCCAGCCCAAATTCCTGCTGCTTTTTCACAATTGGGTGAATTATTCCTACTTCCTGTCTTTTAAAGAGTTGCTGGCTCACATAGGTTATCAGATTTCCATCCCAGCGGCTGCCACATATCCACATTCAGCGAATGAGCTCTCAAAGGTACTTTGGGATGAAAGCTAGTGGATAAATGAGAAGAATTATATTTTTATTTCTTCTCTTTGGAGGGATTATTCTATAACTTTAGTGTTTAGCTTGGAGGGCTCTTATGATTTGATTTCTCTTCCGAATAAGCGAAACAGCCACCCAAATGGCAAGCATTCACATTTTAGCATAGTGTAATTCGATTTGGAAGTTCAATGAAACTCACTTGGAAATGTCCCTCCAGTAATAATTCCCCTCTTAAAAAATTCAGTTTTAAATTCCTGGTTTCATGAATAAAAAAGCTCCAATGAGGCTGAGTGGCAGGGTGACTACAAAAAAAAAAAATTACTTTTAACCACTTAAAAAGAAATGTTAAAAATATATGGTGTTTTCTTCTAATCGTTTTAGGATTTTACTATAGAAGTAGTGTTTACTGTGTAATTTTTGACTTTCAGTACCTCTGATAGAATTCTTGTGAATACTATTCCCAAATTTATTTTTGGTTTGTTTGTTCAGGAACCCCAGTGAGTATTCCATTCTGTCGATATTTATAGGAGACCTTTTCTGTGCAAGATACTGTATGGTAAACAAAAAGACAAGACAGTCTCTTTTTTCCAGACATATTAAAATCGGAAATCTACAAAGTTACAAAAATCACTAAGAACATTAGGAAAAAAAAACTGAGTATCAAAAGCATGCTTTTTAATTCATATGCTGCCAATCTAGTAGGAATTTCTAACATTTACAGATTTGGCATTCACCAAAAGTGGTATTCCTAAGGATCTAATTCTTACTGAGTCCGAACTGACTTAAGGAATTCTGTGTCCAAGTTTAAAATCTCCCCTCTTCATATTGTCTTTATACAAGTGAAAACACACGGCTTAGTAGAGGAACTCAAGATTCTTAATATTTTCTTTAAAATGTTATATTCTTGAAAAATAATCTCTTTATTCAAGCTCCTGTAGAACTTAGTCACAATATGGAATTCTCATTTTACGGCTCTTCCAAATTATGAAGCCGAAGTAAATCGAACTTCCCCTACTTATTAGAGCTAACATAAGATTTTGTTGTGTATATACACACACACACACACACACACACACACACACATACATATAAAAGCTCTACTTATTTGGACCTGAGTACCATGACTAGGATGGGGGTGGTGAGGAGTGGGCTACAAAGCCCATCAAAGTCAACTGTCTGGAAGCAGCTCAGGGAACATGTAGCCTCTAGGATACACAGGAACATTTGTGTCAGCTCTAAATCAAGCATAAGGTATTGTGGTTAATCATCAGTGGGAAGTTTTAAGTTTTAACCACTTATTTAGGAGAGGAAGTGTCTCCATGATATTTTACACGTTCTCATTTTCTGCAAACAGGATGACCTAATATTAGCACAGAACTCTAAGTGTTGCAAACATAATGAGAGAAGCTTAAACATCCGTATACCAAAACCTCTCAAGGCTGAGAGAACAGCATGGCTCCTAACAGCACCTATATTAGGTGTCAGGTATCGCTCTCTTCAAGTTTATACTTGGGAACACCTCCATCTATCTGTACAGTCCTGGAGTACTTTGACAAGGGTGTGCCACTTGCAATCCCAAATTGTCTAAAAGAGAAAGAAAAAGTATTTGCTGGGTCTTAAGTGAGATTTTCAGTTATCTCACCTAATTAGATTGTAATCCAATGGAAATCTAGATCAGACATGGCCAGCTTCTTCCATTATTCCAATGTGGACATACAGTGGTAGTTTGAGCCAGTCAACCTCTACAGTTCACATTTTAAATTAAACAAGAATTCAGGTGAATGACTTTGAAATTTTAAATTGAGACACTTTTCTGCTGAATTCTACTGAGACAGAGAAAAGCACCAAGAAGAGAATATGAGAAGTTCCCCTAAATTCACAGAGTAATTAAAACATAACGAATTAACATATGTTCAAATAGTTTAGTGTCTCTAGCTACATTTTTATATTTATATAATTGCATTTTGTGAACAATAAATGGCACAGTACAAAATATCTTATATCAGGTATTGTATTAATTGACAGTCTGTGTTTTCTGGATGAGATGCCCATTCTTCATAGCAGCTGAACTTATTTTAGAGTAAGACTGGCCCAAGTTAGCATGGCTTGAAATTTAATTAATATCCTTGCTCCCAGCATTAGTAAACAGGTATGACAGAGCAATATATGGATATGAAGAAATACCAAAGAACCTAATGGAAGTTTCAAAATCACTGTGACCACCATCTGATGTCTGCGGCCGTGATAATTACCAATTAAGGTGGAGATGAAGGAGGAGCTGGGGTCAAAAGGGCATCTGCCCCTTCCTCTCTCAGATCTGTGTGATTCCAGGTGAAAAAGGGGATCCTGGAAAGAAAACCAGAAAAGCCATTATATATTTTGCCAACTTTAATATGAATTTAATTTTTCAGAAAAATTAAACCTTGATTATTTATAAGGCAGGTATCTTAAATAGGGCACCTGTAAGAAACATAAGGTACTTAGGAAGAAACGGGATTTTATAAATAAATACAAGGGTTTTCAGGCCAATCTGGTTTTTCTCACTCCTCTCAAAAAGTATGCAGGTGCTGAAATGAAAGAAATTCACAGTTTTTAATTACTTGATCAGACATTATTAGCTATTCTGAGTTGTGTCAGTTAAATATTCCAAATGAATGGAAACATCCTAAAAAAAAAAGTTAGTAAAAAAGAGACTCAATGATAAACACAGAAATGAGCTTTTTTTTTTTAATGAAGACCATTACTGATTTTTTGAATAGCCTGTAAAAGAAAATGACAAAATTATCAATAATTTGGAATGATTCTTCCCAATCACTTATTCATCATCATCATATATTCCTCTTACAGATATCTAACATTAAATAATTTAGAGAATGATTACTGCATCATTAGTTACTGGGACATATATGTATAAGCTGATGCCATATTATGAGCAATATTTCAGTCTGGTTTCACACAAATGAGATACTGGAAATAAATATTTCCATGAAAAATTACTACTTTACTGGTTCCTACTGCAATCACATAACCACACGACTCTTCTAATGTTCTCAGATTTCAAAATTCTCATTAATGGATATTTTTATAATTAATCTCCATTAAGTGTGCTACAAATGGTTTGGGTTAAAAAAAGCAGTTTGGAAAAGTGACAAAGTCAATATAGAAAATTTTGTAAGGAAAAAAATTGCTTTGCAACATAATATTGCTCGTACCGCCCACTGTGTCACCTACATCTTGCACACCTGCGAAGCAAGAACCTATATACAGTCCAAAGTCCTGAGGAGCATCTGGAAGTTGCATGCACTCTTCTGGAATTTGATTGTGACTTTCCTAGCCATTCCATTTACTCCATATTATCTATCGTGTCCTTTTCTTGTCACTCATACCTAATTTTCTGCTTTCTCTCTCTGATATCCTAAAATCACTATTTTGATCCTGCCATTTCAAGATCTTTCTGTTAAGTGCAGAGTTCACTTGACCCCTATAAAACTCCAGTCTTGTCCTTGAAATTGAACCATAGCCTATGGAACAAATGTGGCTTCTGAACCCAGAGGTTCCAGAGGTGTGGCTAAACTGATATTTTAAGGAAAAAAACAGAAAAGAAAAGCTTACCTATTTAGATACTTCACACAAACACAAATCAGTAGAGAGCAAGTATGCCAGTAATTTGAGACATTTTTTGTGTTCATTTCCCACAGATGACAGATGTGTGGTGACATAAAAAGAAAATGTTTGTTGAAATGATCTAGAATTATTGGTCTGCTCAGCTAACACTTAAGTTGAGAAGGTTTCATCTAAATTTGCAAAACAGATCCATAATATCATATGGGGGAGTAAGTAATCAAGTACATGAATGCAATCCTTGTTCAACCCCTTTAATCATGCCCATTTTATAGAACATTTAGTGAAAAAAAAAAGGTAGGGCATACACACTATACTTGTTCAAATATAGTCAGATGTCCAAATGTTTGGTCACAGAAAGCAGCTGAAGAAATATACTGAACTGCTTTTCTTAAATCAAGACTTTCTATAGCTTCAACATTCCGTGATCCTCAGTTGTTTTGCCTTTAATGACTGGCAAAGTTGTTTTATCTAATGGGTATAATCAGAAACCTTAAAGTCTAAAATTGAAACTGCAAGAGGAAAACAAATGCATTATTTATTCAAGAAAGTGTAATACATTCATTTAAAGTTAAACTGTCAAGTAGGGGAAGCAGCAAATGCAAACTGTAAGAACACTAAGATAAAGAGAATCTTGGATTTTTGAAGAATTACAAAGTTAAATGAAGGAAATGAAGTCACAATTTCTTAGAAAAGTCACAGGCTTTCATAAATATCAATCATCGTCTAGGTTCCTGAGGCTATTTTTGATCTGCGAATTTTAGCATGTTTCTGAGATACCAAGTATCTAACATAGCAGTGTCTTCAACTTTCAAGAGAAATAAACTGAATCAACTAGAAAATATATTCACACAAGCCTATAACCCTAACATTCTGAAAACAATTAAGTGGAACCCAGAATGTATGAAGCACAATTCCGTGCAGGATATAAATCTATTGGAGTCTGCAAAAGGATGTACTTTTTTATAAAACTTCAAATTTGACAATGAGAATACATGAGTATTGAATATTGAATAATAAATATTCACATATGTTCAGAGATCTATGCCTTAGGTCCAAACTCAGATGTACTTTGACTAAATCCTTTCCATCTTTCCCCAGAAGACCCCAAATATCTCTCATTAACTTGATTAATGACTAGAACTACCTCAGCAATAGTCATTTGAAATAACAAATAAATTAAATTAAATCTTTTGCCTGTTTTCTATATCACTACTTAAAATCCATATTTTTGAAGAGCTGAAAGGACAGATATAGCTACCATTTTGATTTGTACAGTGCTTTATGTTTTCAGTGTACATGTGTATCAAATCATCATGATGCATACTTTAAATACCTCACAATTTTATTTGCCAATTATATTGCAATAAAGCTAAAAAAACGCATGTATCCTGCAATTCTAGGTTTTCAGCCCACTAAAGTTAGAAGAAAAAGATAAAACTATTGGATGATTCCTGCTTTAGATAAGCACCATCACCTTTACAAAAAAGAAGAAAGGTCCAAATCTGTAGAAGATACAGTCATTTCATCCATACATAACCCTTAGTTAATAATATTCCAGGAGTCAGATAATACAAAAATGGATGACAAGGTTACACTGAATTGTAGATTGTGATACATACACTTAAAATCAAAGACTACTGTAAGCGAGTGTTTCAAGACTACAGTATTTGTAACAAAATAATGAAGAGGTGCTTTGAACACTTGAAAGTTCTATAACTCCTACCTTATCACTTTGCATAGTCTTCTTTGACTCTGTTCCCAAACATGGCTGGTTGTTAAACATTTTAATTAATAAATTACATGTCATTACATAGTGTAGAAATCCCTATACAGATTTTTATTAATCAGAACATACCCTTCTGCAGAAGTATACTATAGGCACTGCCGATATTCCTTATTTAAAATAATTATATGCCTTAAAACAGTAATATTGTATCCTTTTCATTTTATTTTTGAATTACTAAGTTAAATGAAGCTGTAACAAAAATATGTTACTCAGTTTTTTTTAAAAAACAAAGGCTATTACGATGTTACAACTAAAATAACATTTGATAATAAAAGCTAGCAAAAGATTGACATTTTTCACATGAGTGGCTCGGGAGCCTAAATATGGCTACAATCACACAGAACTTTACTATGATTTTCATCTCAGCCTCATTTACTGATCCAAATAATAGCTTCACCACAACTGATCAGTCTGAACACTCTCATTCCTTTTTCTGATTTACTTGTCTTTGTCCCTTAGTCTCATTTCTCTAGATCAGGCTAGGGCCCCTTTTTATATAATTTAAAGGTACCTGATACTTTTCTCATCATAGTACTTATCACATTTCACTGCAATTCTTTATTTAATTATTCATTTCTCTAAAAGAGTTTTAGATAGTTTTTGTGGGAAAAGACTGTCTGTCGTTAGCAAGAACAAAATACATGTTTTGCCTGAATGGATTCTGGTTCTAGTATTCACCAGTTCTTAAATTTGGGAACACTTATTAAATACTTAAATATTACTTGTTAGCCCTGTGTGGTGGGGCTGGGGGAGAACAAGTGGCTGTGCGGCAAGGACAGGTGAAAAGATGCCTGGACTGAGTTTTAAAAGCTGAGTGAATCTGGACATAGGAGCTGGTAAAAATAGATTAAATTTTGTTAGGGTTTTAAAATCTTGTGTATTCTGGCACTATTTTAGTAGAATAAAAAAGAAGTCAACGGATGTTACCCTAGAATAAAATTCATGTTGGGGAAAAAAAAAACTGTTTATGTTGTTTAAATAGTTTCATTTCCTTTCTTGTGTGGTCCTGGACTATTATAGATCTAAACTCATAAAGCATAGCTGTGGATAGTTCTGTTGATTTAAAACTAGACAATATGTACAAATTATGATGCTATGCTATGCTGTCCACGTTTTCCTGCGGCTGTCAATACAGCAACACCAGGGATCTGTTTTTTCTGTATTTTGATTGCCATTAGCGTTAGTAAAACTGAGGACATTGTTCAAACAACTAAAGGCAAAATAAATGTGTTTTTAATTTCCTTGGCTATTTAATGAAGATATTATATTTTCATATATACTTTGACAATTTATAATGGACTCCTGTCAAAGTTAATATATTAGGATAAAAACAACATAATTTGATATTACATGGCAGTTATTAAAAATAAAATGAAATACTGAAGAATTACAAAGAATTATTTTATCCCCAAAGATCTTATTAATGACAGTATGTAATTTGAAGTAATATGAAGGTGTGACCTGGAGGTACAATAATTTGTTAGTTAAGGCTTCTCTTTCCCATATGACTTTTTTTTTTTTTGTAATGAAGAAAAAGTAATTCTCTTGATACTGTGGTGTATGGTCATGAAACTTCAATACTGAATTGGCAATAAAGACTGAGTTCTTAATTTTTATCAAACAATAACTTGACAGTAATTTTAAAAAATTATCTCCGGCTCCATGATTTTAGAGCAAAGGCTTTCTTTATCTTGTTAAGCTTTATATGAGGAAAAAAAAAAAGCACTGATCCAATTCATCTTAATTCTTCAGGACTCAACACATTATTTTTGCAACTTTCTCTTTTTTTTTAACATTTTTTATTGATTTATAATCATTTTACAATGCTGTGTCAAATTCCAGCGTTCAGCACAATTTTTCAGTCATTCATGGACATATACACACTCATTGTCACATTTTTTTCTCTGTGATTTATCATAACATTTTGTGTATATTT